AGTAACATACAAAATATGTTAATAAAGAGTATATAACACATTTTTTATGTTACAAAATAAAATGACACAAGCTTTGTGTTATTTTAACACACTACAATTTTTAACACAAACCGTTTTCGACACAAATACACAATATTTTTTACTGTGTATTAATAATTATTTAATGAGTAAATTTATCGGAAATTTCCTCAACAAATGTTATTAATTAATTTAAAAATTAATTTTAAGAAAAAAGTATTTCTACGTATTATTTTTTTAGACATTCTTTACACCAGCAGGGTACTTAGATCTCCTTAAAGTTTGAAATTCCCGCCAAAATTCAAAAGTTTTAAATATCCCGCGGTTTAATATCTTCAATGGCGGCTTCAGTTCTAACAGCTGATTACTCTCTCACCAGTTCTAAGAATTTTCCATCGATTATAATTAACTGGTACGAATTTAATCGATTATATTTTGCAGGGTTATACAATTAAGTAGTATTAATTCAATAAAAAAAGTATTTCTACAAATTATTTTTTTATAGACATTCTTTACATTAGGATCTTAATTCCATTATCATCACTATAAAAATTTCTCAAATATTTCATTAAATAATTCAATATCAAAATTCATGATACCTCTGTTATAAAAAATTTAATTTCCTACAAAAAAGGTATCTTTTTGTCGTATCTTCAATATTTCACCTACTTTTATCATTTAAAAGAAGTATTCAAGTCCAAATTGCTTTAAAAATCATTAATTGAACGTCGCGGGTTCGAATCCCTCAACCACTTTTTTTTTTTTTTTTTCTACTAAATTTGAATTTTCTCATGTGTTATTTACTTAATTTATTGTATTGCACTGTACTATAATATCTCTCCTTTATTTTAACTACATTATATCCAAACTTTGCAATACTGCCATTCGACTAAGCCTTGGCATATAAATAAAATAATTTAATAAATAAATAAATAAAAATAAAAATAGTCTTATGCCTCGAAAAAATCCATCAAAACTTCTCATTAAAAATAATTAATACCAGAATTTAAGGATTAGCAAAAAAAAAATATTGAGACGGAAGAATAAATAAGCGATTACAATAGTTGCCGATCAACAGCAAGCGAGGGTCTACGGAATGGGAACAATCAGAGGCAGTACAGGTTACTCTTAGAATCTCTCGGCAAACCGTTACCTATACTCGTGATAGTTAGGGACTGCCCGTAATGCAGTAATGAGGGCTTACTGCCATGGAAACCAAAGCCGCTTATAGCCAACCACTCTGGCCCCTTGCCTCTGTGTGCCACGGAAGCCCAACAATTCGCGAAATGCACATATGCGATGTCCTCCTCATCCGGGAAAAAAAAACATTCCACCGGAAAAACAATCCAGGAGATTTTTTCTAGCTAAGCTCCGAGCTTATAATCGAGCGCCAAACATTATAAATGTTTTTCCGAACAAATACCAAAAAATCATTTTTTTAAACGTAACACGCCCCCTCGTTATAGCGCACTCAAAGAAGCTGTCATCCCTCTAAATCGGTCTACCGTGAAATAACGGGTGGGAAATTAAACAAATTAAAGAAGTCGTTAACAGTGAACGTTGAAGAAAAAACAGAAAACACTTTAAATAAAAATAAAACAAATCTTTTCAAGACTTGGGTCCCATCACTCAGCAGAGGTTCTTCACTCGATTTCCTCCGACGGTCTGTACCTTCTTTCTAACCGGTAATGGCTGTGATTATTAGGACGCATTATTTACAAGTCCAGACTCCCTAAATTTTTCTTTCAACCCTAGGTCGCTCGAGAAAAGAACCTCAAGACTTGCTCTCTTCTCTTCTTCATCCAGACATCACCCGGGGTTTAAGGTTTTCTCTTCTCGAGTAGAGATCTGAATTATTTACAACCCACCGAGATGAGAATTAAAAATCTCATGTCTGCCGACGGTACGGCTTTGATGCTATGGAAATACGCTTTTAAATAAATACTGAAAAATTCACCGGCTTCGATTTACAAGGCTAAATATATTTGCTAGGTGAATAAGTGATGATAAGGAATCAGCTTGCCTCTTCAAGTTCTAGTAAACTCACATGCATAACTGAAAAATATGGTGTGGCAATAAATGTGTGTAGTTATAGCAAACCCATTAGTTGTATTAACAAAATGTTCAAAGTTGTACTAACAGTTTGTTAAATCACAAAATCAATTTGTTGATCTAACAAAATCATTTTGTTGCTGCAATAAATGATTTTGTTGCTGTTATAAAGTGATTTTGTTGCAATAACAAAACTAATTTATATTTGTTACCACAACATATCTAGATTATCTTAAAAAAATTTTTTTTTGCGTAAGGATAAAGAAAAAGTAAGCTTACCTCTGCCACTGCGCCCGACAAACCTCAGGTCGTTGAATTTTGCCACCTGGTTCTTCATCAACGCCGTTGAGTTCCTCAATTCTGCACAGCAGTTCTCATCATTTCCAGCTCTAATGGTGACGATGGTGCCATCCCCAACTTCTCCTAGAGCCACGACCTTGAAAGCCACCGGCAACGTCTTGTTTGACCGCCAATGATTGGGCAGAACAGTGCAGACAACATGAGGACTCCCTGCAATCAAAAACCCACTGTTACAAATCATTCCTCGAACCCCTCATCATCAGTGACGATTAAGAAACCTGTTCGGATGAGTTCTCCAGGATGCTCAGCCAGCAACCCATCAAGGGTCCGCTCCGCAAGAAGATCAGCAGTAAGCGCGTAGTCTGGTGCCGAGCTTGCAGTAGTGGAAGGATTCTCCGCCAGATGCATCCTTCTCCGTGAAGATCCTCTGGTTTTCCTGAGCCTGGAGCTGATGGCGTTGATCTGCTGGTTCCCGTTTTGCGTGGACCTAAGCCGGGCCTGATCTTGATAGTCTAGACCAAGAGGACGCTCCTCCGGGCGGACATCTCTCAGGGGATTCGTCATGAGACTGTCATTGGCAATTAATTCACCAGGATGAATCTGACAAGTTGTCCCGCAAACGTATTTTAAATTGAATTTGTTTTATTCAGCTCCCTTCTACAAGTACAAACAACCGATCGCTTTGATCCTTATTTCATTATCCCGCGACGGATAAGTTTAAGACGGAAAGTTGTAGTAGCATCCGTTTGCAAATTCTTCTCTTCAATGGCAAGTCGCGGAGAAAATTCGTTTTATTGGAATCCGAAAGGTTCTTTCTTATCATTCCCTTTCCCGTCTTTGAGACATTCTCAAATAAGCTACCGTTTTATTAGCCTTCTGTTTTGCTATTTACTTACACTGATTTCACTTTCGTTGGATACGAATCACAAAACCAAGCTTAAATATGCCTTTAGACTTCCAGATGATGATGATGGTGCTGATGAATCATCACTGAAAGACATCCAAAAGCTTATTGGGTGGATTAAAAGTCCAAAATCCTGGAAGGTGACCAAGATCACCAAGAATAAATGATGAACATCCTAGATGACGATGCTGGAATTGTCCCAATGGTGTCGTCTAGCAAAAATCACTGGTAAGTTAGCTTTGCCGACCACTAACGACTTCACTGGCCAGTAAATTGACCGCACTATCACAGCCCGACAACGAAAACACAATCACAACCACGCTCGCGGAAGATGACTCGGTCGCAAAGTGGTTTGGCGAACAGTCAAGACACTTAAATGATCAGTGTATCCTGGAACTAGTTGGTTAACTGGTCGGTTGGTTAGTTGGTTGGTCGGAAGCTCGGGTAATATCCTCTCACTCGTCGTTCTCTCTTGGGGTAGTCAGGGTGTTTAACTCGCGCGGTCTCGTTTTGGGTACGGCGGTGGAAGGCGGTGGCGGCTTCTGCGGTGGAGCCAAGCGGTGTGGTTGCGGTGTATTTTTGAGGCCGCCCCCAGCCCCCAGCCCCCAACTGGCAGAGAAACCCCCACAACTACCGAGCTGTTTTCCACAATACGGTGGGGATTCGTTTTTCCAGCAGTGGGGAAAAAGTATCTCGAACTTACACACGCGTGGCAACTCCCACCACTGTCTTTCTCGCCCTCTCTTTTTTCCCAAGTCCGTACAAATATAGATATACACATTGACATATCACATTTTTAACAAACCTCCTCGATTAACGCTCGATCTTTCCTTGTCTGTCTTCATCATCTTCATCCACCTCCGTCACTTTCTTCGTCGCCCTTTTTTCTTTGTTGCTCTGTCTGGATAACGAGCCTCGTTGCTCCAATCTGAAAAATAAATGTCAAGATATAGACACTGATTAAAATTAGCCACCATCATCATCACAAATCAACCACAATCCTTTTTACCAAATTCAAACTCATCATTCTCACAAATATTGTGCATCACTATTCTCACAAAATACTTTTCACTGGATAGCAAACATCTCGCAACGACACTGCCAGAAGGAATGAACCCAAACAAAGACGACCCTCGAATAGGGGCTAGAGTTCGGCAGCAGCGCAATTCGCCAAACAAGGGTGAAAAATTTTCTAAAATTCACTGGCAATCCCAGAAATGAGTCATGCAAGCGTCGAAACGATACTATCGATCAAAATGTATCTGCAGAATCTCGACCCCCAAAGCCCCCTCATAATCCTAAGCCCGTATGACCAACAATGTCCCCTCATCGGTTTGCTACCCTTCATCAGCCCCTCTTTCAATCACCACTCGTAATTTATTCCATCCACCAATGCTACTGGGTGTTCATCACTAGTTTACCAAATCACTCATTAAAATAATACTTAACCCCGTTAGCTTATTATTTTCATTGGAGCATCAACATCCAGTGTCGAGAGTTAAAACATTGAGCGCAAGGGGAATACCTCGGATAAAAACTAGTTTATAATCGCTCGGATGGACAAAAATATTTTCAACGAGATCGTCGCGTTAAAATTTTGATATAGAGATAATGAACGAAATGCATTTCGATTCGAACCTGAGTGGTGCGATCCGTTCGATTACTTTTAATCCGAAAATAGTGTTTCAAGTGTTGTGCTATTTTCACCACCATTCTATATGATATACCTGGACAATATTTTTTTTTTTTTTGCTACTCGTTATTTTATTTTACCATCCGTTTGTTTATTTTTTTCGCGATGTAATGATCACAATGACAGACACAGAGTGTTGGGTATTTGTGTCTGAAAAGTGATGAGTGCACACCAACTGGTAATAATCGGACTTTTACGTTTCAAATTAATTGGACCAATTAACGGGGTTGGACAATTACCTGGTGGCGTCCCAATTAGATTCCCGGATTAAGAGATTTGATCGACGGTTTTGTATAAACCGGTGAAGCACACACAAGCACATATACACACGCAAACGTTATAACAATTATTTGTTTACAATCTAATGCCTAGAATTGATTCACATGGCGCCGAAAAAAAAAAAAAAACTGTATTATAGGTGTGATGGCTGATAGGTGATGGGCGATACACCACCTAGGTGGTTGGTAGCACGTTTACCGAGACATGCTCCAGAAAAAGGTCTTGGGGGTGACCCTTGAAGGCTTAAGAAACGCCAGACAAAGAAAGGGTGAAGGGAGGAAGATTCAAGGAGCGAAGAAGAGGCCAAGCAAAGTTTCAAGGAAAGTGAGAAAGAGATGAGGGTCACCAGGGTTAAAGGGGTGCTAAAGCTGCGACACGGGGCGGCAACTTGGAGGCGGGCAGTTTTTACGTTATCTGCGCATGCGAAACTTTTATAACCCCTCCAAAAGTTTGTTGGTGTGTATTTGTGTTCTTAAAGGCTTCTTAGGATAAGTTTTGTCCCCGACGTGTTGACAGGACACCTTCAGAAGGGGTTGACTTGGTTAATGTCGACAATAGCTGGAATTTTCAAGCGCTGATGTAGAGAATTCTAAATCAAGTTATCATCATCACCATCACATCACCATCACCATCACCATCACTATCGCTAATTTTACGTTGAACCTTGACCTTTCCTAATTTGGGTGGATCTATTTAGATGATAGTGGTGCATTCGCGTCATCTGAAGAAATCAGCGACCTGAAAAGCAGCTACAAAGCCAAATTAATGGGATTAACAGAAAAGAAACCAAGAAATGACATGTAGAAGGAGGAATCTTGTTACCGGTGTCTTGGGGTTTCTTCAGGTATCAATTGATGTGAGGAGAAGATCAATAAGCAGAATGAAAGTATCTAATACAGTGGTGGGTACAAGAAGCTACAAGACAGGAATGTTAGATATTTGATGTACGAGGAAGGAAAAAATATAAGAAAGATATAGGGTGGGGCGATCTTGTCGTGAAGAAGAAAATACGAAAGTAAATTACCTCGAGGCACCCTTCGAGCTATGGGTTGAGGGGGGAGCACGCTGGGAGTGAGAGAGTAAGGTGTCGATATGACTATGACATGTAGGGAGTCTTAGTACTGTGTGGAGGTAACCCCTGGGGTTTATTACAAGGGTGGAATCAAATACACCGGGTGTCAAAAAATGAAACTCACCCCTGCTATTAAAGGGAAAATAAGACGGCAAGTTTACTGTCGGGGATGATCATAAAGTCGCTGTTTGTTGCATCTATAAGGGGTGGTAGCGAAAAATCTGGATTAAATTCTGGTAGAAAGTATTCTAATTCCATCTGATCGTAAACGTTTTTTATCAATTGTGTATAGCATGTCTTTGGTAATAAATGTCAGAGTGGGATTGATAGAAATGAAACTCTTTAGTTTATTGAAAAGACGGACCCAGTTGGGCGGAAAGATCGCGACAACCCTGGGAAGAAATGTCGGTGGTGTTTCTGGGAGATCTTAAAAGGGATGCCTGAGCCACGTTGGCACCCCATTCACCCATTCACCGAGGTGCTCGTTTGTTCCGTAATCTTTAAGATCGGATGGGAAGGGTTGAGGAGGGTGGATTTCACTTCGCTGATTATTTTTTGTCATCTCTGTCTAACTTGGAGATATTTTTACACTGTTGGGAGTTTTATCATCAAGTTTTTGTTTGTGCAACAATCGGCGAAATGCTTTCGAGAATTTTATGCTAGCTGACAGCAGCATAAGTCTTAATTCTGGTGGAACTGAGAGTGCTGGAGAAAAGATAGCTTGGACAATAATTCTACGAAGCTTTTTGCTACCTCAAGACGGGCTTAAAGGGAGAAAATAAACGAGTAGTGATTAAATATTATGACCGTTGCACGAGTGCTTCACTGGCTTTGCCTCCAAAGACGTTACTTAGCATAATTAAAGATTCCCTGGTGCCGAAAATCCTAAGGCCCTAGCTAGCTCCCAAGTGTTGCTGACATTGAGATTTACTCGGGCTTGTTGCTTAAATTTAATAACAGAATTCTCTTTCTGAGTCTATTTCAACTGATGTATTCTCCTAGCTGAGGTGATTTCCATTCGGTCCTCGCAAAGTGCCATCATTTCCCGTGGGACTAAGGCACCAGCTGGCCAATGGCTATGTCTGGTTCGGTTACTGATCGAAATTCCCTTAGAACCTCACTGATCATCAATACCCAACTGGGACACATTTATACCAAATATTCACTGCTTTGTCCGCTTGCAAATTACGATTTTATAAATAATTCCTTCTTAGATATTCATTCTTAAAGCATGCTTTGAATTCTGAATTTTTGGTGTCCATAACTGCCTGGAGTTTCAAACTATTTGGCTTTGATCCCTACCATTGACATGGGAAACTAATCAGAGGCTGCAACCTACTTTATATCCAATTCGACCCAAGCTCAACCCCAAACTTGAATTTTTCCCAGAAGAATCGTTAAATCTGATGATATTTTTTTATTTTACTTTTGATTTATGATAATTTTTTAAAGGCTAAAATTGAAAACACGTTGGGCACCATTTTTTGATTTTTTTTAGCTTAATATGGTTATATTAGGCTATAGATTAGAATCATTTAGTTGCTTAGTAGGTGATCAAGCTAAAAACCAACAAGAAATAATGTATAAAGTCAAAAAAATGATTATTTTCAATTTAA